TTGGCCCCAGGTCAGGACTATATCTTTCCTCACCCTGTCTAGATTTACATGGCCCCCGCTGACTCGTCCCTTAAGTGTGTCAGCCCTGAACCAGAAGCCTCTGTGTGTCTGGCTAATGCAAAGAGCATTTCTCTGAGCCTGTCTTCTTCAGTCCTCCTCCGCTCTCGTTCTCCCGCCGTCCTCTTTCAATGGGCCTCTGTGAAAGGAGCTTTTGCTGAGGCCGTCTTGATGTTTGCACAGCCAACTGCGAGGTCCCGAGCTCAAATATGGTTTTCACACGAGAGCCTGTCTAGGCCTCCTCTGCCGCTCGATACTATTTCTGCCCAGCAGAGTTTTTTCCTCCCAATCTCATTCCCCCCTGGAGCCTACATCTTCTCTGGGATCAATACTTCCCTAATCCAGAGCTCCGAGGCTGACCCGGGGTAATCAGCTGACTTCCCATGCTGCCTGCTGGGGAGGTCAAGGTTCAAATGGCTGTATAGATTTTATCCTGTGATCAAATCACTTTGCTGGGTGGTGATTTTAGATGCAGTTACCGGTGTCAGCAGTGATCACTTGATCTTTTTTTTCTCTCTGTTGTTAGAAGATAAATGCAGCGGTGATATGCGACCCTGCAACCCTAATAGTAATACATCAGCTCTGCCAAAGTTGTTTTAAGTTAAGGTGCGCAGTAGCCATGTACGCCTGTGTAAATCATCCAATAATATTCCTTTTGCTGTATGACTTTTTGAAATTATTCCAACCCGTAGATATGCTGATACACACACACACACACACACACACACACGCACACACACAAATGCACGCACAAACTATTCTCTACTGGGTGGTGACGACGTGGCGTGGTCAGACCGTACACGCATCCTGCTGATAATCATAAAAGCTGATTTCAAGTAAGGACGCGAGCCTCTGAGCGGCCTCTGTGCCGACGCCCCAACACCTCATCCCGGCATCTGCAGGAGGGAAATTGCGGGAGGAAATTGGTGTTGTTTCGAAGAAGTATCTGACATCGACTACCTAAATGGAGCTTTTCTCCCTCTGTGTGATCTCACTCTAGGAGATCTGGATTTTTCAGTTCATGCTCCCTTACATTCAGGAGTATCTCAGATGCCTTCTGAGTTGAAGCCATTTCTCTCTGTATTAGGATTTCTACCTTTTTAGTGGGGATCGAGTGCTGTGGCTGTCTCACCTTCTTACATTTTACATTTTGCATCACCTTTTCTCTGCCAATTTTTAGTTTTTAATTAGCAAGATATTGAGTCACCAGTACCACGCAAACACCAAGGACTTCAAAAGGCACAAATTACACTTTGAGAGCACAATTTATACAAATAGTATATATAAAGAGAGAGCCTGCAGTGTATTGATTACTTTACTAGGAACCAACAGCTAAAATTGACTGCCGGCAGCGAGTGAAAAGCCTGTTTTGCCAATGCCCTTCTATATTTCTTTCAGCAAGTAGAAGGTTGGGCTCGGTATTCAGACAAACAGGTATTTGAAGGCCCTGCAGCATTTGTGTCGCCGGGCAGGTTGCTCCTCTTCGCTCCGCCTCTGAGGCAGAAATCGTGGCGAACTGTCCCCGTAGTGTGACAAGGGGAACCGTGTGATTCATTTGGCCATTCTTTTTAATGTGCTCCGGGAACGCTTATTGTCTTCTCCTTGCACGTCTTTCCAAATCTGCTAGAGAAAATGTGCGGGACATTCGAGACATCCGTCCGTCTTTCCTTTCCCCCTGTCTGTTTTTATTTAGTTTTCCTTTTCGCGGGCTCATCGAGGGGGCTGAGCAACAGGGTCATCGTGGGGGCGAGCCCAGGTCGAGGCGCGGCTCCAGCCAAGGCCGCTGGCGGGATAAATCTCCTGCTCCTGACGTGTTGAAAGCTGTGTAAATGTCAAACGCATCATTCGGAAGTGCCGGCTGAGAGGAGTGGGGGAGTTGGGGCGGTGAGAGAGGAGGTGGGATGCTGGGAGGGAGGGTTGAGCATGAGCCATCCGCTGAAGCTGGTCCCCTGCTGCCCTTGGTAGCTGGCGGTTGCCAGGTGCAGATGCTGCTGCTTGCTCCCTGCCTCTGAAGCGCCAGCCAGTTTTTTTTTTTCCCCCCGTTTGGTGAGTTTTTTCGAACATCCATGAGAGACACAAACCACTAGTGGCTTGGCTCCTGTCAGGAGCTCAGAGGGCCGCATATCTCTCCGACTCTAACCGTGTCCCCTCTGACCAGCAGACATGCTGCTTAGGGAGTTTCTCTGTCAGGGCTTGTGGCTTTGCTTTTCTTATATGGCCCTCTGAAATAATCTTAAATAAATATATAAATAAGAAAATATTCATAGACTCATAAGGTGCTAAATAACGTGGTCCTTTTCTTACACCCGTGAATGACAAATGGGATTGTTTACTTTCATAGGTTCACTGTATTATTTTCTTTGACTCGGCCGAGTGTAATAGCCCAACAGGGCAATCACATACAAACACTGAGCATACACTGCTCAAACACCTCCTCCACCCGTCCATCCGTCCATCTCTATAGCTTCCCCCCTGCCCGGTTGTTTTGTTCCCCCCTTCCACCTGCCTCTCTCTCCCCCGCTGTGCTGTGTGTCTCTCTGCCTGAGCCCCAGCCAGTATTCCTCTTAACGCTCTGCTGCGGTGCAGGCTTCTTGTAAAAGGATAAGCACCCCGCTGTGATCTTTTGATATTATTTTTCCTCCTCGCCAGCTCCAGCCGTGTGAGGCCTCATCTCTAGTGTCACGGCTACTGCTGCAGAGACGAGGCCGAGCATGCACCCAGGGAATAGGCCCAGCCAGTTGTTTGTCTCCATCACCCAGGGTTTAAACTCACCCCCATAGAAGAACACACAACTGCTGGGAGCTGGGAGACATCTGTTCAGCTGCATGCTAAGAACACTGTTACACACTGGGGAGTTGAAGATTGGATCAATCTTCCATTATTGTCATTTGTAGGTGGATCGAAATGGACGGAAACGTTGTTTTGAATGTAATTCACCATCGGAATGATGAACAGATGATTGTTGTTTTTGAGGATTCCTCAACAAGCAGTAAAGCAAACGGCCGACAATTAATTTGTCTGGAATCCAAAGTCTGAATGGGGAATTGATTGACAAGAAGCCGAAGCTACTTTCTCTTGTCAACGCCCTGCATTCTGCAATGAAAGCCTTTTCACAAACAGAAGCACTGGAAAATTGGGCCTGTAAACATTCCCCAAGAGAAAAGAGGACGCGTTGAGTTGAAATGTCACACAAATATTTTAAAATGGCAGTTATCAAAATAGTTTTATGAATGAGAAAAATATAAGAGAACACAACAGCCTATTTTTGTTTTGAATTTTGTTTTCCCCATATTTACACAAGCACACTACAATTGTCAGGCCATTTTTTGCATTTTCTCAGAGATATTTTCTGCAGTATTCTGAAGCCCCTTTCCTTTGCCTCGCCACTTATTTTCTTTATACGTGCTGATAGAATCTGGGTAAACAACAATCACTTCACAAGGAGACACGTATTGAACATCGTTTTATGGTATAATCCCGCAAAGCGTGTTTGTTCTTACTTTACTTGCTTCAGTATGTACTTCTTGGCGTTGTGTTACTCTGCAGATAGATAGATGCAAACCAAAAAATTAACCCTCCTACAAGGACTGGGGTCGCAATGTCCTTCTGTCACTTCTGCAGCAAAGACTCCGCTTGTATGCCTTGTCTTTGCTGAGAAGGATGAATCACGGGCAAAAGGAAGCAGCCCTGCCACAACCACTTTCCTCTCCTGAGAGATCTCAAGGCCACTGAGCCCTCGCGCTGATTACTCTCGTTACTTAATTATATATTTGGACCCACCGCACTCGCGACAAAGGGCCGCTGTGCCTCCATTGACCCAGCTCCTTCCTCATTGTGCCCGGCTCTGAAAGGGAGTCAAACAAAACAAAGAGGGTCCACTTAAATATGTTGCCGCAGGGACTTAATTGACAGGTTGAAGGCAGTTTTTCACAGGGGGCCCTTTCCCTCTCAATGTGGCTCTCCGCTTGGATTGCTCTGCTCGTCATGCATCCTGCTGTGAGGTCCAGTGGGACTGGTCTGCTGCTCGGACACTCCTGTTTCCACAACTTTCCATTGTGCCGTGGGAGTTATCAGCCAGCAGCATTAATCGTTTACCCTCAATTGATCGTGAGAAAAAGAAGCAAGTTTAGTGTGTGTTTTATGTACTTTATAGAAAACCATACATAGTATAGCATGAAATTTCCAGCATAAGTAAAATAATATAAAAGTATTCTGCTTGTGTCAAGGCCATGACACTTAATATCTGAGGTATTCTCCACTGTTTGTCAAGGACTTGTTCCTCTTTTCCTTAATTGAAAGGATTCACCTCTCAAGAATTTCAACTTAATCACTTTCTAATCGAATGGTGAAATTTGAAGAGAGACAAGACGGTGATTTGGCCTTTGGCTGTGCTAGACAAGGCATACAGTTTGACCTTTAACCTTAAGTTATTTAGTGGTTTTATCCCTGTAATAGTCTGAAATCGAAATCAAAGACTGGTTGGAGACAGGCAGATTTGAAATACCACACATAATAGGCACTGCGTTTGAGTATTCAGAGAGTCTGAGCTCTGTGTCCTTGAGGTGCTATCGTCTAATTTTAAAGCACTCTTAAGAGACTAAATGACATGCTGCAGCTGAATACAAAGTCATTGAACAGACTCTTCTCCATAGAATCCAGTGTAAAGTAGTATTCGTTTTTCATCTTTTGTAAATCCACAGCATTGAAATTGTAACAGAAACACCAGAATGACGTTAAATGCATTCGCTGTGTCGCTTTGGAAACATGAAAAACTCTGACTCTCAGACTAGCACAGTCCTCTCCTTCCCTCTTTATCCTCCACCATTTGAAATGCAAGCTGTCAGTGAATGAGAGGTTGCACACAAAAATAACATCTGCACTGATTATGGGCTACTGGGGGGGAGCCAAATGAATAATTCCTAATATTTCCTTTTTTCTTACAGTGTGACAGTGAGAGTGACATTGACGACAAGGTAGGACTGCTTTTCCTCTGTTTATTCACTCCCCACATGAAGTGAGAGTTGTGAATAACAAATCTGAGCTCCCAACTAAAGAAGGGAAACAGTCAAAGTGTGAAAGTGTCCCAACACTGTTGATCATTTGCGTCTCACACAACCAGAAAGTGACAAAGAAAATGGAGTTCACAAAGAAGCTGTTTCTCGTGTTAGTTGTCATTTTTGCAATATAAAAATACATAACATCTTATGCCTGAATACTGGGTGATAAATGTGCACTCTTGCCTGGATTGTAGTGTATGCGAAACACTTTCAACTTTAGTATTTTAAATGGCGTGGTACCTCCTGATCTGCTGGCTCCTCCTCCCGATAGACAAATTTGATTAATTCTAATAATTCAATATGGCAAAAGGTGCTCATTTAAATCAATTTATGGGACTTTATTTTTTAAAAGTTAGATTTCATTTTCCTTCCAAAGACTTAAATTTGAAAATGGGATGCTTATTATTTTAGCAGTGATGTCACCAGGTTTAAACCATTTGACAAGTTGACAGATGTAGCCGATCAGTTTCACTGGTGTGTATTTGTTTATCACAGACTTGGAGGTGGCTGTCTGATGGCAGCCACCTGGTTACAAGATGAAATGCCTTTGGGGAACCTTGCGCATTCTAATTCCTCCACAGTTTAGCAATTACTCCCTGGTAAATGAATGAGATAGCATGCCTAATCTCCTGTAAGCCTAGCTCCCAGTTCTGTGGAAATGTCTGCCGCTCTCCTTATAAATAATACATTGATAGTCGGCCCAATTTGCATTAACTGTAGCCTGGCAAGTCAATAGGCTTTTATCTCTTTATTGAAGCGAGAAGGAACCGAAGGCGCTAGCTAGTTGACACGACGGAGACACGTAGCAGACCTGTCAGTCTCCATGCGGCTCCCTGGCATCACTGAGAGGGGGGGGGCAGAGAGAAGGACGTAATGTAGGAGGGAAGCTCTCAGCGTGTTTCTTTTTCAGGGTTTTGTTTTCCTTCCTCCTCTACTAGTTCCTTGAGTCTTGTAGTTATAGTGTCAAAGATTTTGACATTTAGTATGTGGAAGTTTGATGCTACGATGTTGAACAACTCTACTAAAAGAAAGGAGGGGAAAAAAAACAGAAGGTTTTATAGAAATAGCTGTGTTGCTGTTGTTGAGGTGTCAGTATCCGTCTGTGCAGAAAACGCCTCCATATTTGTAATTTGGCACCAGTCGGCCAGTTTAGGTGGGCCTGGATGCAGTTCAAGGCCCACTGGACTCTTAGACAGCGCTGCCAAGCTTTCAGCTGTCTGATGGTTGAATTCTGCACCAATTACTACACGGTCCACTGTCGAGAGCCAGGCTGCAGCGCCGCTAGCTCAGGCTTTTCTCTTCTCCTACACCATAATCAGCATGGCACCAAGCTGTATTTTACCTCACCAACCGTTCATAAGAAAAATACTTTTGTTATTTCACTAATGCCACTTTTTCTCAAATGAATTCTCCAAATGAAACAATTTAATGGGAAAAACTGTTTATCTCCCAAATGGCACACTTCTGTCACTAAGATTTTGCTGTTTTCCATCAGCAAGCACCACATGATGGAAAAGCAACGTTGAAAGACAAGAAAAAGGGCTCAGTGGCCAAAACAAAGAAAAGACTTTTAGAAATGTTAAATAACTGTAAAATCAGTCAACTTCAGAATATAAAGGCACACGTTCTATTTGGATGCTTACGAACACAATAAGAGGCCCAAAGGTAAGTAGGTGATGTTCTATTCTGAGGACCATCGGTATTTAACAAAGAAAAATGTGTTTTCCCGGCCAACAGGAAATGTAAATGAACGATAATTCATAATTCCAAAACTGGTTTCATTATGATGAAATGTTTGAAATAATTTAATTTTAACTAGAGTGTGAGACAAAAAGATGTAGTAGATGAAGTAGATGAAGGCCGAAGCACCTTTTCATTCAGCCAATTGCTGAGTAAAGAAGTTTGTGAAAAAAAAACACTTTGACAGGCCGTCACCAAAAGCAGAAAGAAGCGACGGTGTAGACATTGGGCACCACGAGGAGAAAGACAAACACTGTCATTTGTAATTGCCCGCACTCAGGATAACTCGACAGCGATCATTTTCTGTAACGTTTGGCGGGAACAGGTGCCAGCTCCTCCCGTAGCTTTCCAATGAGACTCCTTTCACATCAGATTACCAGCCACCTGAACACCCACATTGTGAGGATTTCACAGATTAACTCAATTAGAATATGGCTTCCAGGTGTGCCCCCCTCGATGCAATCAGCTGCACTGTATTTTGAATGAAGCCGACTCCCACAGGAAAGTGTGTTCAGAGGGCTGCACCTCGTGAAGCCGGCGTTTATCAAAGCGACGAACGCGCTCTGCTCGATTTGAGGTTTATCCGGTCACCTCCGGATCATTCTGGTAGATTCTGAGTTTTGTTTTCTCGTGACCGGCAGTTATTGTCGGGAGGCCTGCGATCTGATGTCCAACACGACGTTGGACAATCAGAAGTATTCAGTGTTGGAAGAAGAGAAATTACAGCGTTGACCTTAAATTGCCGCACCCTGCGGGGAAAAAGCCACATAAGTAAGTATCTGGTATGGATAATCAAAAGACGTTACAGTTTTTCAGATGCCCGTGAAGGAACTGACCACATGTTGGTTAGAACGCTTGGCAATAAAGGGACCAAGTGTATTCAAGTCTGTGTGGCAACATCATTCGTTCTCTGCTCTCGGTCCAAATATGTTTAGCCACTTGTTCACCCTGTCTGCCCTTGAACATGTGTTCGCTGTTTAGTATTTCGCCAAAAATATATTGAATGAAAGGCTGCGCTTGTGTAACGGGGACATCTGTGATAACAAGACGTCACAAGACAGGGTTGGATGTTAAAGTGGATGAGATGTGTTATTTAACATACTTCCGAGTTACATGTTTTTAATTGGCTCGAGGGGCCGATTTAATGTTTCAATAGTTTCATCTTATTTGGTTAATTACACATTTATTGCACTAACATACTTACTACATGGCAAACTAAGTTAGATCGACCAATTTGGTGGCAAACGAGCGAGCGCTTGTTTGGTGTCCTGACACTTTTGTTCAAAGTGTTCATCTGAACCGCTGCCTGCGCCACCTGCAATCCATCCACCTCTGACATGCGCGAGATACTCCACGTCAGGAGGGTCATTTTCTGTCGTTTGAGAGGCAGGGACAGACACAGACCAGGGGGGCTTCTCCCTTCTCAGTTTGTTCTACGCGTTCTACTCAAGTGTCATCCTATCTCCAGAAGGCCCCACTTTTTCATCCTCGCCGGCTCCTCCAATTTCCTCCGTATTCTCTCTGCTGTGCAAATAACAGCGCGGCTGTCTGCCGCCGCGCGGAACATTAGCATGAAGCGCTTACGCTCTCCGCTGCCTTTTGACACACCAGCCTCGGTGTCAGGTGCTCCAGCGCCGCCACCGCCGCATCACCCACAGCCCCAGCAGAGGACACCCAGGTCGCCTAATTCTATTTGGTCCTATTTGCCGAGCAGTCACTCAGCAGACAGTGTATCCGTCTCGGGGGGAGTCTCCAAGGACCATTACCACATCCTGCCCATGAGCTCTTTTATGGGTCCGGTGTACTCATCTGCCGGGGCAGCGCACAGGCTCTGATTGACACATTAATTCCTGCTCTACCCCCTTATCGTCCTTACGCGTGCAGAACGAACGGCATATCATCGTCAGAGCGTCTCCACCAGCTTATCAGTAATGGCTCGTCAGCTAGTGGTATCCTCCCGGCTGATGGATTTGGGGGGGCAAACATGATAGGGGGGGGGGGGATTTTAACGTATCCCTTTGCACCACCCTCGCCTTCTCTTAAAATTCTAATCCCCCTGGTATATGATCTTCATGTCATTTCCAGTCTAATTGTACATTCTCCCGTCCGTTGCCATCTTGGAGAAGGCAATGGTGAAATATATTCATGTATGTATGCCCCCCCCCACCTATGCACCCCCTCAACCCCGCTGCTTTGTAATATCTAGATTAGCCTCCAAGAGTCATCATATTCAATAACAAACAGGCCACCCACCAGTCCGCTGACACCTTAACGTTTGTTTATGGACGGGGAAAAATGGACCGGCTTAATGTTTCGACACAAGTGATCATCCGTCCTGATCTCTTTAATGAAATTAGATTAAGTGCACCTGGGAAAGAGCTGAGAAAGCAGAAAGCCCCGCCACCTCCTTTAATCTAAAACCAATTTGCCAGTTATATTCTTCTTCCCCCAGCTTGGGATTCGCCGGCCTCGATTCAAAATGGAGGAGGAACGAGATGAGACAAGAACTGACTGGTTGCATTCAGCTCCCCACAGGCACTGTGAAATTAGAACTGACACTGGCAACACAGGCCTTAATATGGAGATGTCATTTTTCTCCTCTTGCTTTTGTCTTTGTCTTTCTCTCTCCCTCCCTCTTCTCTCTCTCCCTCATTTTCTTCCTCTATTCACTACGGTTTTCACTTTGGGATTGAGGGTGAATGTTCTTATAGGAGTTGCAATAAATCAACTTTTTAGATTAGTACATTGGCCAGAAATAAACAGACCATGATGTTCCCCGGATCTTCCTTCCTCAATGAACCTGGAAACATTCATCCGTCTAATTTATATCAAGCTGTTTGCAACATGCTCTCATTCTTAGGCAGCTCCAAATCATATGTGCTCTGCAGGCAAATGTTTCTTTTTTCCCTTTTGTGGTTGTCAGGAGATACATCTGTTGTGCATTTAGAGCGCAAGTATGCGATGATCAGGGAGGACGTTTGAATTTTTTTCTGAAGTGAAGAAGGACGCCTTAAGTCCCGGGCTATGTGTGCTTGTCTGCGAGCCCGGCGTGAAGTGAGTGTAAGGGCAAGCTCAGCGGTGAAAAAAAGCCCCAGTGCATCTTGGGAAGAAGAGGCGTGATGACAGAGTAGTAACTCGGAGCTTCTGCGGGGCCAGCCAACGGACACAGCTAACTG